TCTAGACAAGAGGATTTTCAATTCCATGCGGAGAGGTGTGGGATCCCCTCCTCTCGTTTCCCCATCTCAGCACCTACACACTGGTTGGGAAAAGGAGTGCGGTCCAGCACCTGGCATCCGGTCCAGCACCTGGCATCCGGCTGCACACAGTAGGTACTCAATTGATATGTAAGCTGGAGAAAAGCAAAGAGGAACACATGAAAAGACGGACAGTCAGAGACCAAGAGGCACACACTTGAACTGCTGGAAAAAAATGAACCAGGGACGAAGCTGAATTTGGTTTCTATGAAGGGTTCTTGGAATCACCACCTGGGGACTGTCCCTCACCCCTGCCAGTCCCTAGAGAACGCTAGATTGCCTATTCCAAGTGGTGCCAGAGAGTTCGCTGAGAGCGGTGCAGTTAGGGGTGAGTCCCACGTACCTCATGGCTGGGAAGGAGTTGCTTGGGGGCGGGGCTAATTGTGTAATCATGGAGGCGGGCCTCAAGGGCAGGCTGCTGGGGGCGGGACTAATCAGACAGCCGTGAAGGCGGGGCTAAAGAGCACATGGGGCGGGGCCAAGATGGAGTAATGAGTTGGGGCTGGACTGATGGAGTCCTGCCATGGACTGCAGTGCCCCGGGTGGCCTCGAGGGGCACTGCATGGTGGGAAAACAGTTTCAGCCCCTGCTAACCCCTGAGAGGGCGCTCTGCCCCCTCTTCCCTCCCTCCATCGCTTCCTAGAACCCCCCCCATCCCTAATGGGTTTCTCCATGTATCATTCTTAGAAATCAGGTGTGGTTATGGAGGTTTATGGAGGTGGATCTGAGGCCACACCTGAAAGAAATGAAAGAGGGTGCCTTGTGTATCTGGGACAAGAGCATTCAAGGCAGGAGGGATAGCAAGTGCAGAGGCCCTGAGGTGGGAACAGTTGTGGGCGAGTGCCATTTGGCCAGAGAAGTCCAGAATGGCAAGACCACACAGGAACTTGTGGTTGTGGGCAGGAGTTTAGATTTAACTGGAAAGCAAAAAAAGTTGCCATGTCAGAGGTCTTGTTCATCCATCCAGGGTTTCTCCAGTTGTTCTGGGTTCTGGCCAGCGAGTGGCCCTGTGCATGATCTGAAGCATCCAGAGGACCTGATAACTCTAAGCTCATCATCTTTCCTAAGGGAAAAATTCCCTCTTCCTGACCCCTGGGAAGTCCTTCCTACAATCTAACTGTATCATTGACACTATCTGGGTTCAGGGTCAACTCTCTCAGGGGATCTCCAGAGCATGGTGGGGAGAGATAGTCCAATTTGGACCAGATACCCCAGGACCTTTACATTTTCCATTCCCTCTGCCTGGGACACTGTACCCCTAGGAGCAGTTACTTGACTTCCTCCCTCTCTTCTTTATGCTTAAATGTCATCTCCTCCAAGAAGACTGCCCTGGCAACCATCTAAAATAGCCTCCCCACTTCCACCCTTGGAGCTCTTACTGTTATTTTTCTTCATCGCCCTTGTCACTTCTTTTCCATGTTTTATGTGTTCATTTATTATCTGTCTCCCCACTAGAACAGGAGCTCATCAGGCAAAGTTTGTTACCACTCCACTGCCTGGAATAGAGCCTGGCACACATAGGTGCTCAGCAAATATCTGTTGAATGAATGAGTGGGTGGACCCCCTACATACACAAAGGGTCTCTTTCTTTCTCAAGTCATAAGATTCTTGTACACTAGTTCCCCCTCTAAACTAATGAGGAGTACATTCCAAAACCCCCGTAGATGCCTGAGACTTGGTATAGTACCAAACTCTGTATCTACCATTTGACCCAATATCCCCTGCCCGTTCTTACACACCACCCATAATACCTGAGTTATTCTGCACTTGCATATTTCATTTATTTATAATCATTTATTTATATCATTATACTTAAGCTTTGGGACAATTATTGGGTAAAATAAGATACCTGAACACAGCACTGAAATACCAAGATGGCCAATCTGATAACTAGCAAGTGGGGTGCATGCACAGAGGGGTGATCCACGTCCCAGGGAGGATAGTGCAGAGGTGTTCCAGGGTTTGTCCCTCCCAGTTGTTTTGGGTTCTGGTCACACTATTAAGAATAGTGCATAATTGGGCTGGGGATGTGGCTCAGTGGTAAAGTGTTTGCCTGGCATACATGCAGCCCTGGGTTCAATCCCCCAGCATAATAATTAAAAAAAAAAAGAATAGTGTGCAATTAAAAACTTACAAAGCCAGGAGTGATGGTGCACACCTGTAATCCCAGCAGCTCAGGAAGCTGAGGCAGGAGGATTGCAAGTTCAAAGCCAGCCTCAGCAACTTAGCAAGGCCATAAGCAGCTTAGCAAGACTGTGTCTCAAAATAAAAAGGCTGGGGATGAGGCTCAGTGGTTAAGCACCCCTGTGTTAACAAAACAAAAACCAACCTTATGAATTGTTCGTTTAAGGAACTGTCTGTTGCTAAGGGGGAACCAGTGTACCAAGGGAGGATGCAGGGACTCCTGGAGCAAAGGCATTAAGAAAACCCATCTTCCTTACTGTGCTTGAAATCCATTATAGGGCAGCACTGTTTAGGGTTAAGATGCTATTCTTCCTGAGCTCCTTTAGAGCATATGAGTGTCCCAGGTGGAGGGAGGTAAATGAAATGTTCAAGACTTCAAAACCCAGAGCCTGGTGGGGCTAGGCCTAAGATAAGGAGCTGAGGCGACACCTAGTGGTGAAGTGAGGTTTTTGCAGGAACTTTGTTCCTGTGTGCGTGATGCTTATGCGTGTCGGTGTGTGTGTTTGTCTTAAGCCAACATAAGTCAGGCAGTTGTTTCTAGTACAAAATTTAAGGGATTCAAACCTTTTAAAATTTTTATTTAAATTTTTTTGTAGTACTGGGATTTTAATCCAGGGATCCTCTACCACTGAACTACACCTCCAGCCCCTTTTGATTTTTATTTTGAGACAGGGCCTGGCTAAGGTGCCCAGGCTGGCCTGGAACTTGTGATCCTCCTGCCTCAGGCCTCCAAGTCAGTGGAACTACAGGCATGCACCACCACACCCAACTAACCAAATTTTTTAAGAAAGGCAAAATTTATGCAAAATATCTATGCACAAAATGTCAAAAACTTAAATAAAAATGGGAATCAATTCTGCCCCTGTACAACTTGCCTCACTTTAATCCTGGGCCCATAGGAATTGTCTGTAGTATGTGCACATGTTCAGTGACAGTATGTATGTTCAGGGACTGTCACAGTTGTGCCTCCGTATCTGCAGGAGACTTGTTCCAGGACCTCCTACAATACCCAAATCTGCCCATGTGCAAGTCCTTTATGTAAAACGGTGTAGCTTTTACGTAGAACCTATGCAACCCTCCTGTAGACTTAAAATCATCTCTAGACGACTTACAATACCTAATAAACTGTTAATGCTATGGAAAGAGTTATCCTGTATTATTTGGAAAATAATAAAAAGTCAATACAGGTGCAATTTTTCCCCAGTATTTTTGATCCAGCATTGGTTGAACCTGCAGAATACTCAGCATTGGGCAAGCCTGGCACAGGGACGTTTGTACCACAATTATACCTATGGATGTGTGTGCATGTGACTCTGTTCCCTATGCATCCATCATGTGGGTGGGCGTGTGTTTCTTATGAGCCCAGCAGCTAGTCTGGGCAATGGCTTTGTGTCCCCAGAATTCAATGTCAGTTTTGGGGAGCCAGTAACATGCAGTTATAATTTATTTGTGCATTCGTGCATTCATTTGGAAAGCATTCGCTGAGAACCCTCTGTTCCAAGCCTCTTAGCACACACCAAGGTCTGGGTGATAGTTTGTGCACTCAAGCAGTGGGGTGGAAGAGTTTACCTCTCTGGAGGTTTTGAGCCTGGCTGTGTTGGGAAGAGGGTGTCAGGGCTAGGGTTGGGGCTCAGTGGTAGAGTGCTTGCCTAGCATGTGTGAGGCACTGGGTTCAATCCTTAGCACCACATAAAAAAATAAATAAAGGGAAGAGGGTTTCATGATGGAAGCAGAGTTTGATGCCACTATTATTATTATTATTATTTACCAGGGATTGAACTCAGGGGCATTCGACCACTGAGCCACATCCCCAAGCCTATTTTTGTATTTTATTTAGAGACAGGGTCTCACTGAGTTGCTTAGTGCCTTACTGTTGCTGAGGCTGGCTTTGAACTTGCAATTTTCCTATCTTGGCCTCCCTAGCTGCTGGGATTATAGGCGTGTGTTGACTGTGCTCAGCTTGATACCACTTTTAGTTAACAGGGCATCCACACTCCTTTCCCCCTGGGATGGAAACTCAATCTGTCCCAATTTTCATCCATCCAAGGCTTAGCCACAAACCAAGTCAGAACCAGGAAAGAGCAGAGAGTAGTCTGAATGAGTTCTCTGAGGTCTGTATGCAAAAGCTTACTTGCATGGCTCCCAGGAATCCCAGTAGTCTCTAGGTGCCTGTCCACATGTACCTTACACACAGTTCTGACAATCCTGGGCAACTAGCATCTGAGTCCAGTTTAGCAGAAAAGAAGAAAGAAACCAGAAGGCAAACTCCGCTGAGATTTTGAATGAAGAGGCGAAGAGTTCCTCATCTTTTAGGTCCCAAGACAGCACCACAGATTCCCAGTTCTTTCTACTTCTCTTGTAACCCCTATGAAAAGGCCACTGAGAGAAGCACTGGGGTGTGAAGAGATGTGACAGAGCTTGCTGTGGAGTGGCTTTATGTCGACAGTCAGGGAGACAGATGTGGCAGATGTGGTCCATTGTGCAAAATGTCAAGTCAGACAGGCTTCCTGGAGGAGGTGGCTCCAGTTGAGCCTGAGGGTCGAGTGCATGAAGACGGGAGAGTGGACATTCCATGCAGAAGAAGGTTGTTGGCCAAGCTAACAAGACCTGGAAGCATGCGGTGTGTTCTAGAAACGCGAACTAAGGTGGAGCCTGGCTGGGTCCATGGGGAGGTGAGATTTGGAGGTGAACTTGGAACAAGAGGTTGTGATCTGACTATAAAGACATTGAATGCTGGGTTAAGGGTCTTAGAATTTATTGAGCTGACAGTAAGTCATAGGAGAGACAGCGGTGGGCAGGGAAGAGAGAGTTCAAATGAAAGATTTTTAAAATTTTAAATTGTGGGTAAAATACAAATAATATATAATTTACCATCATCACCATTTCCAGGTATTCAGTTCAGTAATATTAAGAAAATTCACACTATTGTGCAACCAGTTAAACTCATTTTATCGTGCAGAACTGAAACTCTGTACCTATTAATCACTTCCTGATCCCCCTCCCTCCCACTCCTGGTACCCTCCATTCTGATTTCTGTTTGTATGAATTAGATTGTTGATTGATGTCTTTATAGAATCACCTGTAAGAGGGACCCCGCAGGGCTGGGATGGTGGCTCAGTGGTAGAGCACTTGCCTCGGATGTGAGGCACTGGGTTTGATCCTTAGCACCACATACAAATAAATAAATAAAGATATTGAGTCCATCTACAACTAAAAAAAATATTTTTTTTTTTAAAAAAAGAGGGACCACACATGGTTTGTCTTTTTGTGACTGCTTATTTCCCTTGGCATACTGTCCTCACAGTTCATCCGTGTCCACAGGATTATTTCCTTCCTTTTGAAGGCTGAATCATATTGCATCATAAGGATGCCCACATTTTGTTGATCTGTACCTGGACACTCGGCTGGCTTCCGCCTCTTGGCTATTACGGGTAATGCTACTGAGAAGATGGGTGTGCAAATATCTTGCTGAGGACTTGCTTTTGATTCCCTTATGTCTATACCCCAGAGTGGAGTCTGTGGATCCTATAGCAATTCCATACTTATTTATTTTTTAAAAATTTAACCTTTATTTTATTTATTTACTTTTATGTGGTGCTAAGGATTGAACCTGGGGCCTCACCCATGCTAGGCAAGTGCTCTCTCACTGAGCTACAGCCACAGCCCCCATGTATATTTTTGAGGGCCCTCTGAGCTGTTTTCCTCAGCAGCTGCACCCTTTAACGTCCCCAGCTAGGGTGCCCTAGTGGTCTACATCCTTGCAAACACATGTCACTCTGTCTGCAAGCTCAAGTCACAACATTTTTATTAGTGGAATAAGAGATAATGCCATTTGACGTGCATTTCTTTTTAAAACTTTGAAAATTTGATTCATTAATATGGAACTCATGGCCACCAGCATTATAACTCACACCCAAATAAAGTTTATCTAACACGTGGCTTTTCTCAGAGCCTTGCACCGAGGACCACTACACAGCACCTCGGACCCTGCGGAGGGTAACATTCAAGGACATGAAGTCGCCAGCAAAACGCACAGAAGTGTGGAAAACAGGACACTAAGTAGACTGTTAAAAATGTGCTCGTTTATAGTATGAAACAGAGCTATCTGGTTGTTCAGCCTCAGCTGGGAACCGGTGCCCAGTCCAGCAACATTTTGATACTCTGCACATGGCCACAAATTACCAAAAAAGTCCCAGCAGTTGGACTTAGACATATAAATAAGTTGTATCAAATAGGCAAGTTTGTCAGTAGGGAATCCGAAGATGTCGAGGCTCCACTCTGTAAGTCTAGGAATGGAACTGCTGGCTCAGTGGAGGTCCTCTGAACAGGCTTTCAGAACCCCAAAGACTCTTCCAGAGAGAGCCGCAGTTCCCTCTCCCACCGGCAGGGGGAGCCGTCGGCGGCTGCGCATCCTCCTCAACACCTGCGCGCCTCTCTTTCCTTTTGGACTCTCTGGTGGGTGCACCGTGGTTCCTCCTTGTGGACTTAATTTGCATTTTCTGATGATTAATCATGCTAAGTACTTTTCACCTCTTGATCGACCACCTGGATACCCCCTTTTGTCTGTTCAAGTCTTTCGCCTGCTTCTCATTAGGCTGCCTGCCTTCTCCTTATTGCTTTGTAGGAAGGTGTGAGTGTGTGTGTGTGTGTGTGTGTGTGTGAGTGAGAGTGTGTCCAGATTGTATATAGACACACACAACCATAGCTTACATAAATATAAAACCAGAATACGAGCGCCTGATTGGACATAAGGATGACAAACATAGTCCCCTAGTCTGTGAGTTTCCTTTTCATTCTTTTAATGGCTTCTTTTAATCAATAGAATTTCTGAATTTTAACATAGTTCAGATCATAATTTTTTTTTCCCTTCACGGATGGTGCTTGTCAGTGGGTCCTATTTTAAAAATCCTTGCCCACAACAGGGTAATGAAGATATCCTTCCACGTTTTCTCCTAAAAGTTTTAGAGTTTGTCTCTCCCACTTACATGAACAATCCATCTAGAATTGGTTTCTGTACAGGGTGTGAGGTAGGAACCAGCCTTCATTTTCTCCCCCCCATGAACTGGTTTAAATATCCCAGTACCATGGAGACTCAAATCAAAACCTGGGCGTCTTTGGGAAAGTTTCTTAGCATCTTTGTGCCTCTATTTCCTCTTATAAAATGGGAAGTATAGTCCTGTCTATTCTGAGTCGTTACCTGTGCCTTGCTACAAGTGGTGCCTGGTACCTAACAGAAGCTCAAGACACGTTAGCTATGATTCGTATTACTCTGAAAGCGGTGAACTTTGTTTTTTTCCTCCTGAGGATTTTTCTTGGGGTAGGCCCCCATTTCTTTTTTGGGGGTACTGGGGATTGAACTCAGGGGCACTCGACCACTGAGCCACATCCCCAGCGCTATTCTGTATTTTATTTAGAGACAGGGCCTCACTGAGTTGCTCAGTGACTCACCTTTGCTGAGGCTGGCTTTGAACTCATGATCCTCCTGCCTCAGTCTCCCGAGCCTCTAGAATTACAGGTGTGCACCACTGCACCCTGGCCCCCATTTCTTTCAGTGGTTCTCCGGCATGATGCTCAGAATGATGGTGAGGAGAGGAAGAGACACTTTTTGAGATGTTTTCTGCATCAGGATCCACTGGCTCAGTGCTGGGGAGGCAGGGAGAATAAGGAGTTAAAGGGGAATAACCTCTAGTTTCTGACTGTGAGTACATCAGCGCAAGGACCAGGGTGAAGCCAGCGTCATTCAGTCCTTAGAAGGCACTTACTCTCATTTAGTGCAACTGCAGGACACCTGGGAGGGTGGGAGGTCACAGGAAAAGTATAAGAATGTTCCTTGCTTTTTTTTTTTTTAAACCCAGGGGTGCTTGACCACTGAGCCTCATCCCCAGCCTTTTTTTGTATTTATTTAGAGACAGGGTCTCACTGAGTTGCTTAGCGCCTTGCTTTTGCTGAGGCTGGCTTTGAACTCAGGATCCTTCTGCTGGGATTACAGGCATGCACCACCGCAGCCAGCTTGTTCCTTGCTTTTTAACAGCTTTATGGAATATGGTTTACACAGCATAAAATTCATCTGTTTACATATGCAATTCAGTGACTTTTCATAAATTTGCAGTTATGCAGCCATCACCCCAATCCCATTTTACAACATTTCTGTCCCCCTCAAAAGATCCCTCACTCCCCTTTGCATTCCCTCCCCACTGCTGACCCCAGTTCCAGACAATCGCTAATCTACTTTCCATCACATTGATTTGCCTTTTCTGGGTACTTTGTACAAATGAAATCATAAAATATGTGGCCTTTTCTGGCTTCTTTTATTTAGCAAAATATTTTTGAGGTTCACCCACATTGTAGAAAATATCAATAGTTGTTCCTTTTGTGGCTGAAGGGTTCCCTTATATTGATGGACCGAGGTTTTTTTCTCCATCGCCAGCTGATGGGCATTTGGTTGCATGCCTTATGAATCATGCTGCTCTGAATATTCATGCATGTGTCTTTTCATGGTCGTATAATTTATTTCTCTCGGGTAGATGGAATTGTTAGGTCCTATGATAGACTATGTTTAACTCTTTAAGAAATTGCTACCCTGTTTCTCAAAGTGGTTGCAACAATTGATATTCCTAGTAGCAATGTCTGTGGTTCCAGTTTTTCCACATCCTCATCAATACTTGATACCATCTTTTTTATTTGATGCCATTCTAATGAACGCAATGTGTCATTAGTTCTGTGAAACACACTCGTAGAAGTGTCCAAAAATCAGGTGGATTTAGTGGTCTGAGCTCTAGGTGGAGATCTGGGCTGTAGACAGGCCTCAGGTAATAGATTGATTTAGTCAGTCAATCAAGAACAATTTCTTAGAGATGGGGATGTAGCTAAGCTGTAAAGAACTTGCCTAACATGCACCAGGCCCTGGGTTTGATCCCTATGAACAACCCCCCCCCACACACACACACACATACACACGAAGAAAGGGAAAGAAAGAAAGAACAACTTCTTGAGCATCTACTATGTGCCATGTGCTGTTCTAGGTCCTGAAGACTCAGCTGACAAAAATAAAGACATAATGGGGCTGGAGTTGTGGCTCAGTGGTAGAGTGCTTGCCTAGCATATGTGAGATCCTCAGCACCGCATATAAATAAAGATATTGTGTGCATCTACAACTAAAAAATAAATAAATGATTAAATATATATATACACACACACCCAGTAGTGGATCTAGTACTGAGTAGATCACTGCTGGGAGAAGCCTGATTGCCCTGAGCTAGGGCAGTGACACACAGCCCTCAGGGTGAGAAGATGAGAGGTATCATTGGGTTTCAACTTTTTCTTGGGAGGTTGCAGGAAATGCTAGTGTGTGTGTGTGTGTGTGTGTGTGTGTGTATATATATATATGAATGACAGTCCTAGGGGTCTATGGTCTAGTGGAGGAGACAGACCATCAACAAATAGAAGTGCAATACACAATAATATCACATGGTGAGGGTTCTGATAGTTAAAAAATAAGTAGAGTAAAGGGTGAAGCGTCATGGGGGCTCTGATTGCAGATGAGGTGGTCAGGGAAGGTCGTTCAGAACGGATGGCCATATTTGGACTTGGGGGTAAGTTCAGTGGGGAGCTTGTGCTTAGCAGGCATGAGGCCCTGGGTTTAGTCCACAGCACCCCTTCCCCAAAGACCATATCACTCAGGGTCCAGTCAGGGAAACAACCATTCATGTCGATCAGAGAGAGCGGATTTAACACAGGGGATTGGCTAAGTGGGAGATGGAGGAGTTGAGAAGCCAGATGGCATAATCAGGGAATCCAGCTACAGGCCTCGGCAGAAAGCTGCTGGAGGGACACTGGAGAAGCTCTTGTGGAGCCATGGAGGGGGTGTGGGCACAGTCACAAAGCACCACCCCCACCAACCCGGGTAGAGAGGAGAGAAACCGGGTTTCTCCCTCCGCACTCTCCAATCTCCCTCCAGTGCCTCCCATTGGTTGAATCTAACAGGAAGTCAGTGCGCAAAGGAACCTGGGAAATGTAGTTTTTTCTGCAGGAGGGCATGGCGTGACTCTGACCCATACAAGGATATAGAATAGACATAGAAGAAATAGGGGAACAAGCCATGTGGGCGTCTGTGGTAATAGAGTTTTGGGTAGAGAGAGCAGCCAGGGCAAAGGTCCTGAGTGTGCCAGGTGGAACCAAGGCCCTGGGGTTGGGTAGGATGGTACAGATCGAGTGTGCCAAATGTGAGGGGCAGGGGCAGGACAAAGCCCAGAAGGGAGAAGCAGACATTCAGGAAGTAGGAAGGGACCGTGAGGCTACAGAAGTGGGAAAACCAGGGAGTGATAAGGTATGTCTGAAATAAGGGAAGAAATGGCTTTCAAGAAGAAGGGGAAAGCCAGGCCCAGTGGCGCAACTACTCTGGAGACTGAGGCAGGAGGATCGCGCCGGCTTAGCAACTTAGAGAACACCTGTCTCAAAAATAAATACACAAATCCACATATAAAGGGTTGGGAATGTAGCTTAAATAAAGCTCCGTGCAAGGTAATTGATGCCTTTGGGAGAGGAGTTTGGGATCCTGGAGGAGGTGGGAGGCCAGGAGGTGCACCCAGTAGTGGATCTAGTACTGAGTACGGAGATCACTGCTGGGAGAAGACTGTTGCACTGAGCTAGGGCAGTGACACACAGCCCTCAGGGCGAGGAGATGAGAGGTATCATTGGGTTTCAAATTTTTCTTGGGAGGTTGCAGTAAATGCTAGCAAGTCCATTTTCCGCGTTCAGTGCTAATAAATGGAAGTTTTGTACAAGTAAGCAAGGACACTTTTTTTTATCACTTGCAAATAATAACAATGGCATTTACTATTTATGAAAAATGTACCATGTCCTAGACAATGTACAAAGCACTTTACAAGCACTGTCCTCCCTCTCTGTCCCCCAGGCTCACTCTGTTCCGACCACACTAGCTTCTTTCCTATTCCTTGAACATTCCTGCCCCAGGGCCTTTGCACTTGCTGTTCCTGATGCTTGAATTCTTCTCCAGATATCCAAATGGCTTCCTCCCTCGCCTTCTTAAATATCTGCTTAACTGTAACCTTCCTCAATTTAAAATCAACTCTCCCCTCTGTAGTCCCTATTCCCCTTCCTCAGATATTCTATTTGTATTTCACTTTGTTTCTTGTCTGACTCACCCCACAGCTCCGCGAAGGTAGGCATTTTTGTCTGTTGCTCTCTGGGGTGTAGTTGATGTTCGATAGATCACTTGGTTCTCAGGGCAGCCAAACCATTTACCTGTAACAGAGCCATCAGCCCTCACAACCACCCATTTTGCAAATGAGGAAACTGAGGCAGAGAGGAGCAGTCACTGCTGGAGGTCACGTAGGTGTAGAATCTGCCTCTCGGGGTGGTCGGGCTCAGAGACAGTCCTTGAACCCCACTTCCACCGCCAGGTTCTGCGCTTCTCCGGGGCGAGCCCTCCGAGAGCGGCCGCGGGAAAGGCCTGAGTCATCGCCGCCTCCAGACGGCGGCGGCCGCGGGCCAAGGGCGACGGCGGCGGCGGCGCGAGGTGATGCGGGGACGCCAGGAGGGGGCGTGAGTGCAGGCAAAACAGAGGAAATTAAGCCCCGCCGGGCGCTCCTCCCGCTGCCCGCCGCCCCGCCGCCGGCTGGTGCGTGGGTGGGTGGGCGGCTGCGGGCTGCGCTCCCCTCTCCGCCGAGAGCGGGCCCCGGAGCCGTCCCGGGCCTGCGGCCAGAGGGTCCCAAGTCCAAGTTCCCCGCCCCCACCCCGAGTTCAAGTTGAGCGTCGCGGGGCCTGGCACTGGCCTGCCCGAGGCGCCTCCAGGGCCCCGGGACCCCTCCCTTGTCGCCCTCCGCTGCGCAGGGAAATCCTCCCGCTGCCCAAGTGACCCCCGCCACCGCACCTCCAGCGACGAATCGCGCCTACTGCTCCGGGCCACGCCACTCTGGGCTTCCCTCCTCCCGAAACTAACGAGGGACCCCAGAGTGTCCTGGTACCGGGGAAACCCCTTCCCCGGGGGACCCCAGGCTGCCCGATCGTCGGGGCGCACGGGGGTCGGCCCACGCCCCCTGCCCGCCCGGGGCTGAGAGCCGGGTTAGAGTCCTAACAGCAGTCGGTGAATGGGGACTTGCGACCCCGGCCCCGCGCCGGCTTTGGTGGTCGAGATGGGGCGGCTGTCCCCACTCTAGACGCGGGGCACCGCGGCGGGGACCTCGGAGGGGCTGTGCGTGGAGGGTGGCACCGGGATGCCCCCGGTGGGGGAGTGGGGATGCCGCCGGGGGGCGGGGCTGGGGATGCCGCGGCGTGGGGGTGGGGCGGGTGGGGACGCGCTGGAGGGGTCCCCGCCCTGTGGGGCGTTCCTGGCCGGGGGCTCCGGGCCGAGGGGAGGGGGCAGTCGGGCCGCCCCCCGCCCCCCGCCGGGCTCGGGCCGGAGCCGTGACGTCACGGCGGCTGGAAGTGCCCGGCGCGGAGGCGCGGGAGGGGGTGGGGGCCGAGCCGGCGCTTTATAAGCGGAGCCCGCGAGGCGCGCCGAGCCGCAGCCCGCGTCCCCGAGCCCCCCGGCCGGCCCCGGCCTGGCCCCCAGCTCGCGCTCGCGCCCCTGGGGCGGCTGGGTGGTGAGGGACCGAGTGCCTGCCTGGTGGCCGGCGGGACTAGGGACGCTCGGCGGGCGGCCGCGGGGCATGAGGCGGGGGCGCGATGTCTGTGCCGCTGCTCAAGATCGGGGCCGTGCTGAGCACCATGGCCATGGTCACCAACTGGATGTCGCAGACGCTGCCCTCGCTCGTGGGGCTCAACGGCACCGTGTCCCGCGCTGGCGCCTCCGAGAAAATCGTGAGTGGCCGCCGCGCAGGGGGCGCTCCCGGGGGGCGTGGTGCCCGCTCCGCGGCCGCCGCCGCAGCCCCCGGGGGCCCCGCACCCCCGACCGCCCGGCGATCCCGGGCAGAGAGTGCCCTCCCGAGGGATGCCTGTCACGGCTGAGTGGCGGGACACCGGGCGGAGGGGGCCCGGGACCCCCAGCTGCCTCCTCCGCGCAGTGCCGCGTTGTTATTGTCATTAGGATCCGGGCTGTTAGTGAGCGGGTCCGAGTGCCAGGGCTCGCTCCGGCCCGGGCGGAGGCGGCCAGGGCTGCGGAATTGAGCCGGGTCCCGGCTGAGTCGCGCGGAGCGGGAGGGGTTCGTGGGGCTGCGAGGGAGCCGGCCTCTTCATGGGGGCGGGTCTCGGGGTCTCCGATGTCTCCACCTTCAGGGTCTCTGTCTGGTTGTGTCTAAATGCATCGGAGTAGTTTCTCTCTCTCTCTCTCTCTCTCTCTCTCTCTCTCTCTCTCTCTCTCTCTCTCTCTCTCCTTTTCTTTCTGATTGCTTCTCTGAGTCTATTTACGTCTCTCCAATCTCTTTCTATCTCTGTCGCACTGTCTCTGACTTTGAATCTCTTTTTGTCTCTTTTTCCTCCCCTGCACTCACCGACCCTAATCCCACCCCAGCATCTCCCTGATCCTTACCTGTCTAACATGCGCTGAATATTTATCCCCACAACTCGTCCACCTCTGAAGGCAGAGGGGCTTAGCCTAAGGCAGGGGCTCAGACTGCCACCAGGAGCTCCAGGATCGCCCCTTCTGTGCTATCCCCCTCTGTGGCCCTATCCTCCCGCTTCCCCGCCACAGAGCTTCCCTGGGAGGGGGTGGAAGGTATTCAGTTGGATTCATAATGGTGGTCCTGTTGTTTTGGGAAGAGGGGAGGGGGGCTTCCTCCATTGCAAACTTCCCTCAGCCCCTCCCCTCACATCGTCACCCCTCTGGAGCCCCTCCCATCGTCAATCTGTTAGCAGAACTCCTCCCAATAGGTGGGTCTGGGCTGCACTGGACCTCAGCTCTTCTGCTCCGTGATGCCCCAACTCCTCCAGCCCCCTTGTTTAGCCCTCAGTAAGCACCACAGCTTCTCCCTCCTGGCTGGAAGGAGAGGTCTTTGCTCCCAACGGTTGCAGGCAAGCCTATGTGTGTGTGTGTGTGTGTGTGTGTGTGTGTCTTGGAGGACACCATCAACTGTGCCCAGATTCTGTCTGGCCCCTGCAGGGAGGTGGTATTGGGCTGGACCCAAGTGAGACTATTCATTCCACATTCTCAGACTTGCAGCCAATTTGTGAAGCAGTATTTTTCTGTGTGTCTCACATCAAGTGACATTGTTTGGGTCTGTCCTGGTGTGTGCATCTGTACGTGTGTTTCAGTATGTGTATGTGGGGGATGTGAAGAGAAAGTTTATGTGCTTGCTGACATGAGGGTCCAGTTGCGCTTTCCTGCATGTGGGAGTCCATCCCAGAATCAGTGTGGGTGTGTCCCTGAGTGTGTTTGGATATGGAGGCATCTGCGTGTCTGCAGTTGTACGCCCCTTGCTGTGGATTTGCGTGTTATGTGATTGCATATGCATATCTGAGTTTGTGTATGTGAATGTGACACAGTCTTCTTGCAGATACTATCTGAGGGGAGAGAGATGCGTTCCCTGAAATCAGAGTCCAGTCCCCCGCCCCAACCACCAGAGAGTGCCAGTCTGTGTAACTCATGTATGTGTTATATGCAGGTGTGTGTGGGCATGTGAGCTTATGGCATATCTGGGGGAATATGTATACATAAGTGTGTGCGAGCACTTCTAAATTATGATTTATGCGTGCATGTGTGTGCAAATTGTTCATGTGCCCAGCATTTTTGTGTGCACTAAGGGTGAACATGCATGCTTTGTGTGTGCACATAGGCACATGTGTATTTATTAATTGTGCTTGCTTGCCTGTGTGCAGGTGTGTGTGTGTGTTACGTGTGTATGTGTGTCTGTTGATGTTCCTAAATGGACCTGGAGCCCTTCATAGCTAACAGTCCCTGATCCAAGGCTGTCATGGAATCACCTGCTGAAAGTTAATCCTTGACCCCCGCCCCATCCCTCAGTCTTACTATCCTTGACAAAAGGACTCTGTGGAGTGAGATGCTAAAGGACTCAGGGTGGGGCCTGGGAGGTGATGACCACCGTGGGGTGCTCAAGAAAAGGTCTTGGGAATCTGATAAACTTACCTTAGAATCTGGATTTTCTCCCCCCTTTCTCTGTGTCCCTGGATCCACTAGTGGCTACACCACTCTGTGCTGTAGTTTCCTCATCTATAAAATGATTATGATCATTCCTACCTCACAGAATCATTGTGGGTAACAGCATCTACTGTCCAGGCCCCCATCCATCCATTCTTCTATCTGCCCATCCATCCGTCCATCTATCCATCTCTTTGCATTCATCCTTACGTCTCTCTCTCCAGCCATCATTCCACCAGCCCACCCATCTGTCCATTCTTTATTCCATCTGTCCATCCACCTTTACACTTGGTCTTCCACACATCCATCTTATCTCTGTCCCTTCGTTGTCTTTCCATCCACCGGTTCCTCCATCCTTTTATCCATCTCTCCATCGCCCTGTCTCATCCATTTCCATTACTTATCTACAGGTCTTTGCTCCCATTGTCCACCTCTATCATGTATCCACCATTCTCTATCATCCAGCCATCTCTTTGTCTATTCTCCGTGCATCCATCCCTCTCCATCCATCCATATCTCCATTCATCCATCCTTTGATCCATTTATTTCCTCAACAAAACTACCAAGTGCCTCTTCTATGTCAAGTATGTGTGTATCTGAAAGGCCCAAGCTTCTTGCCTCTCTGGACAGATGCTCCATTAATAATAGGACTTTGAATTTAAAATGTCGGGGTTTGATTCTGGCCTTAACTGTAAACTTGGGGAAATCATATAATCTCTCTGAACTCCAACGTTTGTGTTAGTCAAGGAGAACTCAGTATCTCCATTAGACTATAAGATCCATGAGGACAGCTGTGTTTTGCATAGTAGGCTTACCACAAATGTGTGTCAAGTGGCTAAAATAAACAATCACACTATCCTAGAGATTCTCAAATTCCACTTTCAAATGGAAACAAACGACCCAACATAGTGGGTGGTTAGTAAGGAGGGGTTGTGTTCACCGTTGTAGCCAAGCACATAGTAGGTCTGGAATAAATGTTTATCAAGTGTCTAAATCGATGTCCCTTTCATAAGGATTTGGGAGGGATGAATGGAAGTGATTGGGCACATAGTAGGTGCTCAGTAAAGAGGAGTTATAGGGAGATACAGACACCAACCTGGGAGAGGCTGAGGGTTTAGAAACCTAAGCAGTGTGGGTTCATGGCACCATGATGCAGGGTGCTTGCTGGCGTTTGACTCAAAGGACCTCAGTGATGTGGAAGGGGTGAGCCCAGACCCAGGGTCGTGCTTCTCTCTGGCTCTCCCCTCCTCACTCCAGAGCAGCAGCTTAGCGTTCTTGTGCTTGTGGACCATCTCCAGGGAGGAGGAGGGAGGAAGCAGCCACTGCTGGTACCTCTGGCCATCTCCCAGCCATAAACCATCCCTGTGGGGTGGAGCCTTCGGCGGAAAGGCTTCTCACCTGGGGACCATAAATCCAGACCCAGACTAAGAGCGGTCACCACCATTGCCAGCGGCT